TGCACTCCATTTATACCACATAATTAAGTTATGACTTTCTTTGGATTATGCATGCCACATATATAACAAAAGTTAGCTTAAAATATTTTTTAAAAATAATTCAAATATATATAGTTAAATTTGTTGGTGTATTTTCTATTGATTCCAAAATTACGGCTCATAATTTCAATTTTCACACCCTCTCAAAGATTGAACAAAGCGTTAAATTTCTGTAGTTAAATGTTTGAAGTATTTATGGCTGTGACCCAAATATGATTTGCATATAGATCCAAAATTACATTTTGCCCATGATATTTGTTAAGTTAAAATAAGTGTGTCTTTGAACTTAAGACCCGAACTAACAAGTTGACGTGAAATTAACTAAATAAATATGTAAATGTGCAAAAATGTTTATGTTTACAATATAGAAAAGATCAAAAGTAAAATATCTAACTGGCAAGACTAAGACTCGCATATGTGAATGTCAGAAACAATAAGAAGCAGCAGACTCTTGACCCAGTTGAGCGCACAGGTAATCAGATGTAACACACGTGCAAGAGATAATTAATTGTTATCAACACCAACGCATAGCAGAATGCATGAAAATGGGAAAATGAGCAAAAAACAAAGCAAGAGATATAAACGAAGTAATAAGTAAAAGATGCAAAAAATTGAGCAAATGGAAAACGTTGCAGCTGAGCTTAGTGCGATTCGAATGATTCAATTGTCACGTTTTCGCATATTTAATAATCCAGTCATGTCTCGAGCATCGCACCATTGCACAATTCTCAGGTAGAAGACACTTGTAATTGAGAGACAGACAAGTGCAGAAGACACGTTAAAACTGTAGAATTCTGCAGGCTTATAGAACGGACTTCAATTTACTTTTACTGGTCCACGCCTGTGAGGAATACCAAAGCTTAACCATTTATTTGAACTGATATTAAAAGCATGTTTTCTCGATTATCTTGCAGAAGATGTAAAACGCACAGAAACTAGGAACTTCACCTACGTAACGCAACCAAAGAGGCTCAAGGCCCCCCATAAACCCAAAGAGTAGGTGCCAAGCATAGAGGTTGCCATACATTGCCCACATCCCTCAAAGCCTCCTAGCTTATAGCACGTAGCACAAGTTAAAGCCAAATGACTGCAAATAGCCTACTGGGACGATCCTTACTTAATGAAGGTAAGTTGCTTAAAGAGCATGCAAACATTTAAGTTCCACATGAACTTCATTTCACAATAGAAACAAAATTTGATCGAGTCACTCTTGACTCTACGGACTCAGAAATACCCTATATGCAGACATGCACAATCAGAAAAAAAAGAGCGAAATATAGAAATGGAAATTTAGAAATTCGCCAATGCAATCGGGCCTAAAGCCATTTGCCCTATTGTTTTTCAAATAGATAGTTTTCATTTAAAGCAGCTAAAGATTTCTCAAATATAGATAAATGTAGATGTAAATATGTAGAGAATATTTTCCGCAAATTATACTTTTTTTTATAAAAGAAAATATATTCTGAAAATTATACTTTTTTCATAAAATTATAAAAACGGTTTTGAAAATTTGAAATATTTGAATTTAAAACTTAGGAAACTTGTTTTTGTTTGAGTGTATCTGAATAATTTTTGCAACAGCTGCGCATCTTCTTTTCACATTGGTACTATATGAAAAATTTAATGTTCGTCGTATTATCCGATCGTTGTTTACACTAATTTATACAGTATACAGTACATAAATATGGCATATGAGCATATACCAGAAATCGTACTCAAAGAGTTTAACCCTTTCAAAACTCTTTCGATATTTATTGATTTTTGGAAATGAACGAATGTAATCAGTAGGGTTAATAAAAGCAAAACTATTCTCCCTCCCATCTAATTTTAAGATGTATGAAAATGGTTCTCAAAAATAAAAGATACATATATAAATTCTGGATATATACGCGATTTTTCGATAAAAGAAAACCAACTGATCTGTGGCATTCTTTATTTTCAGGACGTTCCAACAAACGTTCCTTCGTCTCACTGATCGTCGGCCTGGTCGTTGGCTTCTGTCTGGCCGAGCTATTTGTGTACTCATCGACGCCGGAACGTGGCGAGTATGTGCCGTACGATGGCCATCGGCATGGCGATGTCAACGATGCGCATCACAGTCACGACATGCTGGAGCTGGCTGGTCCAGAGCAGGATGTGGGCACGCACGAGCATGCGCACGAGAATACCAGCATTGCGGAGAAGCTGTACAGCGAAGTGCGAATTCTCTGCTGGATCATGACAAATCCCGCCAACCACCAGAAGAAGGCGCGCCACGTAAAACGCACCTGGGGCAAGCGTTGCAATAAGCTGATCTTCATGAGCTCCGCCAAGGATGAGGAACTGGATTCTGTGGCATTGCCCATTGGCGAGGGACGCAATAATCTGTGGGGCAAAACAAAGGAGGCGTACAAGTACATCTACAAGAACCACATCAACGATGCGGACTGGTTCCTAAAAGCAGACGACGATACCTATACGATTGTTGAGAATATGCGCTACATGCTATATCCCTATAACCCCGAGACGCCCGTCTACTTTGGCTGCAAGTTCAAGCCGTACGTTAAACAGGGCTATATGTCCGGTGGCGCCGGCTATGTGCTCAGTCGGGAGGCAGTGCGTCGCTTTGTCGTGGAAGCATTGCCCAATCCCAAGTTATGCAAAAAGGACAACACCGGCGCCGAGGATGTGGAAATGGGCAAGTGCATGGAGAATGTTAAGGTTTTAGCGGGCGATTCCCGTGATGCCAATGGACGTGGACGCTTCTTCCCCTTTGTGCCGGAGCATCATTTGATACCCTCGCACACGGACAAGAAGTTCTGGTACTGGGAGTATATCTTCTACAAAACAGACGAGGTGAGATATTACAAATTATATTCGGCTGTGCCCGGCTCAGATCTTCCATCACTTTTCCATTCATATCCCGCGAAGATATATGGATTATTGAGAATTGGTTAAATGCGCTTTCAATCAATACTCACAAAGAACAAAGAACTTTCAAACATATATTCATACTAACTCATGAATTCTTCATCTTTTTCTACAGGGTCTGGACTGCTGTTCGGATAATGCCATATCATTTCATTATGTGTCGCCCAATCAAATGTATGTGCTAGACTATTTGATATATCATCTGAGGCCATATGGCATAGTTAATTCGCCAGATGCTCTACCCAATAAGCTGGGGCTGGGCGAATTGATGCCGGCGCCCAAAGAGACCAAGGAGCTGGAAGAATCAAATACTGCCGAAACACAAAAGCAAGCGCAGTGATTACAGACCGATGTTATGTGTATATAAAACTTTTGTAAATATCGAACTTAGCTTAACATACTTTGCCATTTCCATATGTTGTCTCTTGTTTTAGTAAAACACGCTCAGGCTATGTTAATTAAATGCTCTTGAATTGCGACTCTTTTGTACAAAAATACCAAAACCAGAATGATTGAGTGCTGTTAGTTTAGTTTGTAATAAAGTCTGCGCAATTATCATTTATAATATATACTTATTAATAGATGTAGATACATTTGATTAGGTATTTATAATGCAAATGCCACATAATTAGCTCTTAAGACAACGCAAATAAGTTAAACATACACATACCTACTGGCCCATTTAGTTAGCAATAAACAATAAGTTTAAAATTGACATAAATCTTTCGATAAGCTTTAATACGTACATATATAAACATCGGCAATGCTACTGAGAAAATGTATTACACTTTACCATTAACTCTTAAATATTTAATAAAATATTGTATTACAAGTGGAATACATGTTTGACTTTTGAAAGATTTTCTTAAGCATTAACATTTTTCTAATAACCAGAAGTAAGGAAATTTTTAAATTCAAAATTGTGCAGTTATGTGTGTACACTGCTTGGCAAGCAGTAAACATTAACTGTAAATATATAACGGCATTAGGAACTGCTTCAATTATGCACTGCTTGAGCTGGTTCATACGTTAACCTTTTCACAAACTTATTGAGTGAAAAATGTTTTTAATTTTTTTTTATATATAAAAGCTGTTTTAACCAGCCCATAATGACAAAACATTAAATAAACTCTTCAATGCTCTGAAAATAATAACTTTGTTTATGTATATCAATAAAATTTTTAAAAAAAATTGTAAAGGAAATTTTAAAATAAAATGCACAAGCTCAGTATTTGATACTAAGCTTTGCTCGACTATTATATTTTGACGTTAAAAAACTCACTTAAACCAATTTTCATATTTTATTTTAATTTTTAATGTCATCCGTCAACAATAAAATAAATTGTACCAAATTTGCCAATATCAAAAAAAGGTTTACCCTTATACTTATTATATAGTTTGGTTCAGTTACAGATTTGTTTTTTTTTTTTTTTGCAACTGATTATATTTTTATACCATTGTCAAGGCTATTAAATTTATGTCATAAAATGACAGGATCAACAGACTTGTTGACTTTAAATCGGTCGAAAAGTTTTTGTATAACAATATTTCGAAGATATTTTCATCAAACTTATAATTTACGAGCTTCACTATTCTCATACATCTGCAAGACCGTAAGGATATTAAATCTTTGACATGCGAAAGATATCCTTACTTTCTTGTGATTATTTTTATATAATTTTTTCTTATTTTATATGATTGCATTTTAATTTTATTTTGTAGCACAGTGCACTTAAAGACCTTCAGACACGGTCGCCTGCGTTCTGTTCATTTATAAAAATGTTTATACATATATTTGATTAGCTTTAGTAATGCACATGAAACGACATCCGAAAGATACCCCAACACGTTTTCATTTCAATTTGTACAATTGGTATAAATTTACTCCCAAGTTTAACAAATATAAGCTTGCATAGGCTCGAGTAAATAAAATTACCTCCCCGAATGGAGCCTATAAGAACCGAAGTAAAGGCAGTTTATAATCCTAGTCATTTCGAAAATACGCGTCGTTTCGGTTCTGAGAAACAATCATACACGAGGACGTAGTTAAAATGTTTGCTAACCATAGACGATTTTTTGAAACTCATTTGCTCTGCACCCTCATCGCGGGTCTAGTCTTGGGCTGCTGTTTGACTCAACTTATCTATAAAAAAAACGTTCCTGTGGAAAACCATCATCGGCATTACGAACTAGAGAGACTCTCCCTAGCAGAGCAACTGAAGAAGGAGGTGCGTGTGCTCTGCTGGATTATGACAAATCCTAACAATCACAAAGAGAAGGCTCTCCATGTCAAACGAACCTGGGGCAAACGCTGTAATATTCTCCTGTTCATGAGCTCCGGAGTGGATAATGAGCTACCCACGGTGAAGTTGGATGTGGGAGAGGGTCGAGAGAATCTTTGGCGCAAAGTGAAGGAGGCATTTAAGTATGTGTACAAGCATCATTACAACGATGCGGATTGGTTCTACAAGGCAGATGATGATACCTATGCGGTTGTCGAGAATTTGCGCTATATGCTATATCCCTATAATCCCGACGCGCCAATATATTTTGGCTTCAAGTTCAAACCTTTTGTGAAGCAGGGTTACATGTCAGGAGGAGCAGGTTATGTGCTGAGTAGGGAGGCACTGCGGCGATTTGTTGTTGAGGGTATACCCGATCGCAAGAAGTGTCTGCCTGGCACCGTTGTAAACGAGGATATTGAAATCGGGAGAACCATGGAGAATCTAAATGTGACCGCGGGCGATTCTCGTGATGATCATGGACGCGGCCGCATGTATCCATTTGCGCCCAGAGATCATTTAACTGCCAAAGTTGATACGACGTTCTGGTACTGGAAATACATATACTATAATACGACAGATGTAAGGTGTTACTTGACTTTCAAACTACTTCAACCTAATGGAACTCTCTTTTAGGGTCCCAATTGTATGGCAGATACGGCTATATCATTTCATTACATCTCGCCCAAGGAAATGTATGTACTAGACTTTTTAATTTATCATCTTAGACCCTTTGGCATTATCAATGAACAACTGCCGTTGCCCAAAAAACTGGCTGTAGGGGAATCTATGCCCGAGCGAAATACAACAGGACTGCAAATAGCACATTGACGGATCTTACGTATCATATTATTCAATAAAATATTATGAATTTGACTTTCCATGAAGATGGTAATATATTTTTCACATGCAATATATAACACATAGAAGCAACCGTTTCGCAAATTTCCACAGGTCCGTCTAATTGTTGTAGGCTCTACATATGTCGGAATCTGTCGGATCGGTCCACTATAATATAAAGCTGCCAGAGAAACGAAAGGGAATCAAGATCCCAATACCATATTACAAAGTTCTATAGAAGGAATTTGTCTAAAAAATGTTTTTTAGTATATCAATATTTTATGTTCACCTAGATATTTTCATCAAATAAAGAATTTATGATGTTACGTTTTTGGCTCAAGTTTATGTTAAATAATTAAATTTAATATTAAAAACATTTTTGACTTGAAAAATAGAGACAATTTTTGGCATATGCTAATAAAGCCACGATTTTTGTAAATACGAATGATGCTGAGCAAACTACAGCTTATAAATAAGACAAAATAGTATTAGGCAGAAGAAAATGTTTTGAGGCGAATGTAGAGATGACATTTATTTATCAGTGTGTTCAGGAAAATTATCATTGAGGGATTAACAAACGTAATTAACAGCAAAATATATTGCAAATTTCATTAAGATCGCTTAAAAAACATAAAAGATTAATTTGTTAAATAAATCGTTAATAAGTCTCTTGACAGCTATCGCAAAGCGCAAGCTTTACTAAATTTCTAAATAGAAGAGCAATTGCGATTCTATTTTCCTTGGTTAATTTTTTGCTTGAAGATCGAATTCATAATATGGCTGTAAGCTATGACGCGATGGACAGCAGTTCGCTCGGTTGCAGGAGGTTCCGGGTTCTAGGGTTCTAATAATGCTAGGTAAATCAAAATGTGATATTTGCAATCGAGCTGCATTTGGTGTTGGTGGAAGAGGGTCCAGGGTAGACCCTTGTCGGATACTCCCGAGCACTCTTATTATTAATTCAATTTGCTTATCTGTTGTTGTTAAACATCTCTCTGTTTCTCTCTCTCTCTCTCTCTCTCTCTCTCTCTCTCTCTCTCTCTCTCACACACACACACACACACACAATGTTTAAACAATTGTCTATTAAAAAGAGTTGCGTGTTGAAAGTCTCATAGACTTTATGATACGATGGCTTATCATATTTTTGGCCTAGTCGTAAAAGTGATGTGTGTCTGCTCAGTTCACATAAATAAGAAAATGTAATATTAGCTGCTATGAGGTCCTTAATTCTAATATTTAATATATTAGAAAAAAGAATAGTATCTGGTTTTCAAAAATCAACTTTTCCACATAAATGTATCTGAAAGGCAAGATAATGGTGAAATTTAGACTATTTGTCTTGTTTTATTGACGCAAGTGTCTGATATGAGAGAATTTTTTTTTGGGGAAATCAAACAGACGTTTACAGTTATAGGTAAAAGATCAAAATGCGGACACATTCACTGAGAAAAGGTATCGCAATAGGTCATAAAATACTAAATTAAATTTTAAAAATAATTCTTATGTAATAAATACGAATTTTAGCACTAAACAAGTTTTCCATACTTGTCGTGGGTTTATTTGTGACCATTTTCCTGGTAAAACTCTATTCAACGCCGCTTCGAATTGATTCCTTTGATACCTTTACCAGAGAGCATTTACAAACTACCGACAAGGATGTTAAACATGAACTAGTTCTCCAACAAAATGGAACTCATGCGAACTACCAAGAGAAGCGCATAAAAGTCAAGCCAAAACAACAATAAAGCATCTGAAAATCATGTTATATGTTAGAAAGCTTTATATATTTTTTGAAAATATGTTTAAAGTTAATCGAATAAGAAAACAAAATTCAACATTACCGGCTTCCGCCCATCTTAGTCTTGTGGCGAGCATCTTGATGCCGAAAAATAAAATGTTGTTCAATAAGTCTTTGACCAGCATTTTGCCTTTAATTTTGCGAAAAGAAAACCCTGTCTAAGCGAGCACCTCCAGAAATTGGAAGAGATGAAGAAAAAAAAAAACTTGAGCCGGGCAAAGCAGGGTAATACACCATGCCATTTGTCTATTAAACAAAATGCTTGTTCGGAACTAGTTTAGTTTAACAAAAAAAATGTTTTTTCCGAAATTCAATTAACCACAAACAAGCGTACATGGATTTCTTTGCAATTGTGTCTAAAAAACTTTTGCTGATAACTTTTTATCAAGTTGCTTTCAATTAAAAATCCTATCTACAGATTACCCCTTTACGTGCTCTTGCACGTTGGATAGTCTTCCAATTGCAAGATTGGTATTTTTTTTAGCTTTAATTTTATGCGGTTCGTAACTAGGTATTTATTTGCTTTAAAGACACCTGCTCATATCGAAAATAGTCACAGTTGTCACTCGTGAGCGCATAGTGAACATGCATAAGGAATTGGCATACAAACTTGTTAGAAATGTTTTTAAGAAAAATTGAACTTTGAGTTAAAATATTCAACTTTGAAACAAGATGTTCTTGTCGGGAGTTCCCGACTAATAAATACTCACACTCTCTTCTATCAAATATGAGCTCGTTTGCTTTAGCAGTAATAAATGTAAATTGTAAAATTAAAAAAAAATGTTCCCCCAATTGGACTTGAACCCAAAGCCGACCCAACTACTTGCTGCCGCCTAGACTCGACAGCCATTCCAATATCTATTTCAAGTCTCTAAGCTCTGAGATCGACGCGTTTATGCATACGGATAAAAGGAAAAACAGACAGACGGATATGGCTAGATCGAATCTAAGAATATATACACTTTATGAGCTCGGATATGCTCGGATGCTTCTTTCTGCCTGTTCAATACATTTGAATGAAAACTCTTCTTACCCATTTGTAATGGGTTAAATAGTTATAAAAGCAAATACAAAGTAATCGACCCACATAAGATAAAGACCTTTTTTTTCTATTTGCACAAGTGCTATCTAATACAAGTGCCTATTGTCACCCATAACTCAGGCAGTTTTCGGTTTAGAAGCTTAGTTGATTCTGCAACGTGAATTACTTCGGTTCGGTTTTTGGGGACGCGCTCTTTAATGATAAAGTATGTCAAATTAAGTGCATAATTATATTCAAATAAAACTCTTTATGTAAATACTCAAATAAGTAGGTCATATAAAATATCTACATGTACAAAGTGAAAGCATAGAATAATATACTAGATATGCAAAGCCAGTGAAGTTATTTTGAACTTAACAATTTCTTGGATTTGAAACAAAGCTGGTTTGCGAGTGTTTAGACAAGTGTCAAAGCTGGAAACGTCATACAAAATGGTTTCACACTCCGCTATTTACGAAGGTAAACGACACATGTTCCAAATAGAATTTAAATATGTTCTGAGACAATTGAAAATTTTTTAGCGCGTGCCTCTAAAACACGTTCATTGCTTACTCTTATGATTGGTTTTCTCATCGGTTTTTGCCTGGCTCAAATTATATCCTACATAACCATATCTGAAGGCATCAAATCTAACAACATCTTGGCTAGCAGCGAACCCCTTATCCAGCACAAGGAAGCCGAAGATATAATAGCAGATTTCCATGTGATTAAGCACGAGCATCCAAACGATGATTCTTCGCTGGCCGATAAGCTAAAGAAGGAGGTGCGTGTGCTCTGCTGGATTATGACAAATCCTAACAATCACAAAAAGAAGGCTCGCCATGTCAAACGAACCTGGGGCAAACGCTGTAATATTCTTCTATTCATGAGCTCCGGAGCGGATGATGAGCTACCCACGGTGAAGTTGGATGTGGGAGAGGGTCGAGAGAATCTTTGGCGCAAAGTTAAGGAGGCATTTAAGTATGTGTACAAGCATCATTACAACGACGCGGATTGGTTCTACAAGGCAGATGATGATACCTATGCGGTTGTCGAGAATTTGCGCTATATGCTATATCCGTATAATCCCGAGACACCCGTTCATTTTGGCTTCAAGTTCAAACCCTTTGTGAAGCAGGGTTACATGTCGGGAGGAGCAGGTTATGTGCTGAGTAGGGAGGCACTGCGGCGATTTGTTGTTGACGGCATACCCGATCCCAAGATGTGTCTACAAGAAACCGTCATCAACGAGGATATTGAAATTGGAAAATGCATGGAGAATCTAAATGTGACTGCAGGCGATTCCCGTGATACAAACGGACGCGGTCGCATGTTTCCCTTTGTGCCTGAGCATCATTTAATACCCAACAAAGACAAAGAGTTTTGGTATTGGAATTATCTTTTTTACAAGACGGATGATGTGAGTTCTAAGATTCAGTTAAGTAAATGATTGGGATCAATTGTTTTGTTTAAGGGTCTCGATTGCTGTTCGGATAATGCCATTTCATTCCACTATGTGGGCCCAAATCTGATGTATGCTCTAGATTATTTAATCTATCACCTAAAACCCTATGGAGTGGTAAGAACACAGCAACAGTTGCCAGCTAAGCTGAAAGTGGGCGAGTTCCTTCCGCCGCCAAAGGAGGAGCCCGCCAACAGCAACGAGGATTCCATCAATGATGAGGACAGGTTGGCGAATACAACAATTGTAACTCCGACAGAACCTGATGCGAGAGAAGTCAATTCGAAGGAAGCCGATTTAGAAGAGAAAAAGGGGCCGAAGGAGAGCTCAAAAATGGTAACAGAACTTAAAAAACTGTCAAGTGAAATAAAAAAACTTGAATATTTAAATGATCTATATACAGAAGAACATAAGAGCAAATAAAAACCCTATTTTATCATTGTAGGATTATCTATAAATAAAAATAAAATACGCTTACTTAATTAATAGCAGTAAGTCTCATTGCTCAATTGTCCTTTTGTGATTGCCCAGACTTTTTTTATGTGCAGAGTTAAGAGTTACGGGGTTTTTCGAAATTCCACCCGCATGTGTGGAAAAATCGCGAAAAATGTTTGAATGAAACTTTTTTGTTTACTCTACATAAAAACAAGTAAGAGGTTCTAGTCGGGAGCTCCCGACTAGGGGATACCCTGAACCCTCTTCTTCCAACATCAAATGCATATATATATTCTATTTTAGAAGCTATATGTCAAGTTTGGTGACTCTAGCTCTTATTATTTACCAAAATTGCTCAAAAAACAGGATATCGAAATAGATTTTTATCGATTGCCTGGAAACGGAATAAGTTATCGATTATCGGAAACAAACTCGATCTGCGCGGGAGCTAGGAGCATCTACATCTAAAATTTCATCGACTCGGTTATTGATACTGATCAAGAATATATATACTTTATGGGGTCGGAGATGCTTCCTTCTGCCTGTTACATACATTTGGATTTTGCACAAATATAATATACCCTTATACCCATTTTTAATGGGTTTAGGGTATAATAAAAACGAAATAGTACGTGTTTCAGAACAAAAGTTAACAAAAGTTAAATAAACGGAAATTTTTTATTCGAAACCTCTGGTTGCAACATTTGGGTCTTTATTCGATGCACTTTAAACATATTTTTGAATAGAAGTGGCGATCAAGATGGTATGGGTAGATTTCAATTTTCCACGGGCGTGCACTTAATGGAAAGTTAATACCTAAGATTTTTAGCACAAAGCCTTCCACGGGCAAAGCCGGGCAATACCCGCTAGTGTAAATATAAAATGAAAGATAATTGATCTGTGCACACTATTCTAGAAGATACACACATTTATGAATGAATTTGCTAAGTCTAGCCCATAAAAACTAAGATATTTGCTCAAACAACGCGATTTCGATATTGTATCCTATCAATTGCTCGGATAACACGGGGAAAGTTATCCGAAAGAAACTCGTACACTGCGCGAGAAACTACGTTCAAAATTCCAATCTCAGACTCCTATAGGTTCGGGACGGGACGGACCTTTAGACGGACAGGGCTAGATCGACTTGGCTATTGACGCTGAAATTTTTTTTCACCTGTTACAAAAAAAAAAAAAACCATGCTACCCTTGTTAGCCAATTTCAATGGGTAAAAGACAAACCAATTTGAATTTGATTTTTAATTGTACGAATATAGTTTGAATATAGTTTTGAATATAGTTTTTTTATCTTATTGTAAACACGCAATCGTTGCGTTCAACAATTTGAAAAAATCTGAATTTATTCCATGCAGAAATAATTATTTAATAATTTATAATTTTAGAATAGTTTCTGCAGATTTCGGAATTGCGAGCGGACATTTATAAATATTTTTAAATTATTTACAAAATTAAATATTTGATCCACTTACCGTTGCTTAATTCACTGAAATCCCCAACTGGCGGAATTTAATCAATAATAACTTTCTGTTGAGCACTTTCACTTTCACTTATTATACCCTTGCAGAGATTATAAATAACATAAACAAAAAAAAAATAAAGATTTTATAACTATCGCTATATAAATATATCTAAAATTAGCTGTTTGTCTGCAAAATGTATGTTATGTTCGTCAGCACGTACATAACTGTTCTTTATTGCTTCTTTACTTTCACTTTCACTTGTTCTCTTTACCTCTTTTCTTTGATGCAATTCACTTACACGCACACATACATATCAAATTGGCTCTGCTTTTTGCTCATGATGAGCAAAGATCTGATCTCCATTAAAGAGAAATAGCAATGCACTGCACTTTATTATACATAAATATGTTTATATGCATATGTATATTACACTGCTTCATATAATACATATTTATGTACCAATTACACTGCACTTTACTTTTCTTTAATTTAACACAGCACATAAAAAAAAAACCAAGCACGGCTCCATTTTTTTTTTGGCGCGCGTCGCGAGCTATTGCCGACCGTGACGGCCCGGGTGCAATTCGACTTGCAGCTTTTACATGTACTTCACTTGCCCGTTTACTAAAATATGGACTTCAATTCGTATATGCATTTATTTATTAATTTATTCACATTTGGCAAAAATATTTGCCTTTTTGTTTGTTACGTTATTGGCGCGACATTAAAGAAGTTAAAGGAACGACAAAAATGAAGCTGGCTCAAAATATCGGAGCGCTGGTTCACAATAGAAACAACAAGTTCCGTAATCTTATCTGCCTATACATTTATATCAGTCTGGCATCTCCAATTTTTGACGTCTGACATTGTTCAACTTGCTATTTGCATATATTTAATGCTACTTATTTTTTCTTTAATTGCCATGCATGTTAGCTTTTCTTTGTTTATAAGCAGTGATCTTTATTAATTTATTGGTTTTGCGCTTGCATTAAAGTAGTTGAAATAAATTATTTCAAATACAATAGTCTGGCAACGGCAACGTATGGCAGCTCACAAGCTGGCTCGAAAATAAACAAATGAGCTAGTCCCAGGTTGAACAGTCTGGCAACTTTAGGAAATAACTGATTTGACAAATGCGCAAATAAAACAATTTAAATATTTTTCGAAAATGCTGCTGGAACGTTTGAAGCGCCTATTAGGTACCACGAGCTGGGCATTATTAGTTAGCTGTGTGTTGTGGTTCCTTCTCCTGGAGCTATATATATTTGCATTTAGTCGTGCCGGCATTGCCTTAAAGGACTATCTGCAGCCGCCATATAAAGAGCGGGTCACGGACTTCGTCGTGGGTACCCGGAATCAGACGTGGGACAATTGGAGCATCGCCGAGCAGATGCATAAGAAAGTTCGTATACACTGCCTGCTGCACTTGACCAATAATCACGAACGGCGCAAGGCAATGCATGTACTGAAAACTTGGGGCGCACGCTGCAATCGGATGCACATTAGCAAAGCGTCGGATGCAGCCAAGGCGTATCGACGCATCGCTAGCACTCAGTACTTGGACTTGGATTGGCTGCTGCATGTGCATGTGGACAGCTATGTGATTATGGAGAACGTGCGTTACAAACTGGCCAGCTATGCGCCAGATCAGTTGATTTACTTTAGCGCATTCCATGCTGCCTATCCCTATGCCCATGTTAGTCTGAGAGATACCACGGATTATATATTCAGTCGTGGTGCACTGCAGCAGCTGCTGCGGGAACATGAGTGTCTGCCCAACAATTTTGCCGCATGTCTGGCCAAAATAGAACAGGGCCCCAACGAGCAGCTCTTCCCGTTTCAGGTGCCAGCCGAGGTATTGCCCTTTACGATGCGCTCTGAGTTTTGGATCTGGCCATACATACACCGTGCAGTCTATACCGAGCAGGTGGGGAAATCAAACACTTCAATATTAAAATCATTTTAACCATTTTTTCTTTAACAGGGCTTTAATAGTAACATGGAGATGCCGATTACTTTTCCCTATGCCACAGCCAATCAGCTGCATGTGATAGAATATTTGCTCTACCATCTGCGTCCCTATGGACACATAAATGGCATGCCAGCACTGCCACCAGACTCAGTTGTTCAGTTACCGGCGCTGTCTGCGGATGACACCGTGGCCAGACAGCTCTACAAGCAGGTGCGCATTCTCTGCGTGCTGCTGACCTATCCGCACAACTACGAGAAAGTAGCCAAGTCAATCCGACAGACCTGGGGACGGCACTGCAATAAGTTAATTGTGTTTAGCAGTCGAAAGCAGAAGAGCACAACGGGAGTGCCCACAGTAGCACTGAACGTCACCGAGGGCTACGATTATCTATGGGGCAAGGCGAAGGCTGCTTTTAAACACGTTTATACACATCATCTGGACGAGGCGGATTGGTTCTTTAAGGCAGACGATGATACATATGCTATAATTGATAATATGCGCTATATGCTGCATACCCATCAGCCCGATAAGCCTGTCTACTTTGGCTGCAAGTTCAAGCCGTATGTCGAGCAGGGCTATATGTCTGGCGGCGCTGGCTACGTGCTCAGCCGGGAGGCAGTGCGTCGTCTGGTCGAGCACGGGCTCAATTCGGGACGATGCAATGAAAATCAAATGGGCACCGAAGATTTTGAAATGGGCCTTTGTTTAAGCAAGTGCAACGTGAGTGCTGGTGATTCCAGAGATCCTAATGGACGACATCGATTTCTGCCACTCACATTGGAGAGCATGATAATACCCGGGAGCTTAGCTAAAGATTTTTGGTTGTATGACTTTGCGTATTACAAATTTAAGGAGGTACGTGGTGTGTTTGTCTTTAAACTTAAATTCAGTATAATGCCAATATAATAATCTTTTTTAAAGGGACTAGAATGCTGTTCAACTTATGCCACAACAATTCACTATGTGGTTTACTATCAGATGTATATGTTTGAATATTTGCTATACAAAATGCATCCATATGGCATTATAATGGGGCACGAGCCGCCTACCCAGAACGTTTCCAGCACTGATACTCACAATGGAAATTAACCAGATATATTTAACATGGTTAAAAAGAAATGAGCCAAACGATTGTACAAGGAGAACATTGGATGAAGTTTCTCTAAACATTTTCATTTTATCCAGTACAACGCATTGACATATATAATTTAATAGATTTGATTAGTCTCTGTCTTTGGCTTAGTTTGCTACAGTCCTTTCAAAACTCCAAATGGGCAACATCCTGAAAATTCCCATCTACAAATATTGGTTCAATTTGCAAAGATTCCTGAGTTCAGCTTAAGCCGAACGCACGCAGTCTATAGATGACATACTCCATCTGATAAAAGCAGCTGGCATCAACACATTGAAATGATATGGCCGACTTTGAACAGCATCCTTCTGTAATCTGTAAAATACAAACAATGACTCAAAGATCACATTAAGTGTTAGTTAGCTTACATTGCTTAAATGGTTTACGAAAAGTGGAAGTCCATGCTCATCGTGGGATTTGCCCGCTACAACGCCCACATTCCGAAAGCAACGTGCAATTTCCACATGCCTAATCCCATAGTTGTGATTGCTGCAGATGCTGCTATTGTCATGTGCCCAAGCCACAAAACGACGCAGGGCCTCACTACTGAATACATTGCCCCCAGCTCCAGACAACGAGCCCTGGAATATGTAAAGAGAATTAAGTTGTAAGTACTTCGTAATGATTTATTTACTAGCTTAGACTTAAAAATATTTCAAAAATATTTATTTATTTTTAGAAGAAGACGCAGAGTTGATAACCATGTCCGTCTGTTTCTAAGAGAACTAGTCTCTCAGTCTTAAGGCTTGAAACTATGCATAGGTCCACGTAGACGGATTGGTCCGTTACATATATGCAAGAACCTATTAATATCAGAAGATTATTTCATATAGTTGCCATAGGAATGCTCGGTGAAAAGTAGGCAAAATATTCTGTTTTTCAATATATATAAATCAAACTCAGCATTTTCGAGCTTCACTATTCCCTCATATCTGAAAAAGGTATTAAATGCGCGGTGTGTCTTTGGGTATATGCTGATTAATTAATTATTAATAAATTACTTTGTTATTGATAATATCCTGGGGTAAATTTAATTTAATCTTAATCGTATGATGAGAAAAAATCATTGATTTATATCATTAAATTCCGATGTCAACTAATTGCAATGGGTGCTATGTATATGATATAGTTATCCGGTTACGTTTAATTATTATTTGATGTTGAAACCTATTGTTAGTACTTAAGCAATATGATGTAATTAGTACTTTTTATCGTTAATTGAAAAGGTTTTTCAAAACCGATAAATATCGATTTCCCCTTCAAGCTTATTGAGCATATTTGTATACCCTTGCAGAGGGTATTATAATTTTGTCGTGAAATGTGTAACGCATAGAAGGAGACATCTCCGAACCTATAAAGTATATATATTCTTGAACAGCATCAACAGCCGAGTCGATAGAGTCATGTCCTTCTCTCCGTCTGTCTGTTTCTATGCGAACTAGTCTCTCAGTTTTAAAGCTATCTTATCATATATATGCAAAATCCTATTAAGATCGGACTACTATATCGAAAACTAGGCTTTTGATTAGGAACCTTTTTTGTTTATCAAGATATCTGGTCCAAACTCGGCATTAACTATTTTCCCTGTGCTTCTTAGATACGGGCAAAGCACTACAAGCATTATGAAATGGTTGGGTCTGCAAGCGTATTAGATCTTCGGCGTGCCGAAGATAGCCTTTTTTCTCGTTGAGCTTAAAAACGCTTGAGTCCCCAACTTTGGCATTCAAATTCGCCATGAGCATACACAGATCAAGTAATATGTTTGGCTTAATGAATCTAATATGAAAATAATTTAAGACTTCTTGCATACTAACCTGCTGCGTATACAACCAGGAAAAGCTATCAAAGTAAATGGGCATCTCTGGCGCGTAGTCGATCAGAAGGTGTTGCAGATTCTCCATGATCACATAGCTGGGAAAAGCCAATGATAAGAGAATAAAGCATTTGATTGGAGTCTCAATTTACGTACGTTTCATCTGTGACCATTAGGAACCAATCGTATTTCTTGTGATAACGATTATGGACATGCTGGAGGTTCGCTCGCGTTCGAGCCCACGAGCTGCTGTCAGTCCGGCTTTTCGCCAGCCCCACAATGCTCAGCTTTGGCTTTCTCGCATGTGGACGTATGAACAGCAGCTTCTGGCAGCGTCTGCCCCAGGTACGTGCTATGTCCTGCTGCCGCTTGCCTTTCGGCTTGAGCGTAATAATGCAGAGTATACGCTGTTCCGTATTGCTGTTGTTTTTGTTGTTGTTATTGTTTGGGTGCATCAGCGAATTGTCTGCATTTGAAACAGTATCTGCAGTAAATTGCTGACTGGCATATAGCTCGTAGAATTCCACTCGGGCCAGCTGCAACAGCTTCGATAAACAGCTGCCACAGATGAGGCCCAGCAGCAGCATCAGTAACAGTTCCAGACGCTGCCGGTGTTGCTTTACAAAATTCATTTTTTTTTTTTTGGTGAGCTTTATCGGCTTGCCGGATCTTTAATACGCGTTTGTGTACTTTTAATACTCTGTAGCCAAATGAAAAAGGAGAGCATATTAGTTGTGCTTTTATGTAACTAGAAACTGCAAACTTTTTTTGTCGAGGGGATTCATTTATAAAAAATTATAGATTATCAGATAAGGAGATTCATCAAAAATAATATATGTAATACAGTTTTACAGCCACCCTTCTAGAGTTACTTCAATTTACTGATAACCTTGCTTATCAATCGCATTTTGAAAAAGTTTTAGAGTCACAGTTTTAGAAGCAGCAAATTTATTTCGTTCGATTATTCTGAGTTTACAGCTCGTAAATCGCATAATTTTTATTCCATTTTAAAAATTACAGTTTTAAAGGAACAGTTTTAGAGTCACTGAATATGATTTATTGTATAAATAAATTGTGTGCTTCAAAGCTGTATTGGTTCTTCAAATGACATAAGTCTATAAATTTACAGTTTTAGACGCACATTTTGATGTTCACTGTCTAAATGCACAGTTTTAGAGTCACTAAATTGTTCAGAAATGTAAAAATCATGGTAGCCTGGTCTGTTGCCGCTTGCATAATGTAAACAGCTGCAAACAGAGTACCGTGCAGTCGGATAGGAATTTCTATTGCAACGTTTTTAAGTTATTTATGCAAATTTAATGTTTATGTTTCTATAGTCAGGGCGCAGTTGTTGTTGCGGCCTATGTATATGGTCGGTTGTTATTGTTGTTGTGATTGTTGAAATACTGAATTAACACATTCTTGTGCACTGACGCAGCAGCCGTAAAGGCAAAAAAAAAAAATAAGAAAAAAAGACAAAACTTGTAAGATGCGGTTGACCTTCAAGCCGGAGCCGCACAAACAGTCGGATGCTCTGCAGAGTGGCCCGCGCGCTGCGCTCTCGTCTGTGCCTGGCGTTGCACCTTTTTGACGTAATTCAATTTGCAATTGCTAAATTGTAAGCTTTTGCTAGCTGTTTGCCGGTTTTTTTCTCCATTTTTTTTTTATATATTTTTTCTTGCTTTTTTTAATGTATAAGCCCGTCACAAATCGCTGCCTCTTCGGCGAGAGGGCGTTCAATTATGCGACGCTCGTTCCGTTTCGTTTTGTTTTGTTTTGTTTATTTGCTTGGAGTCAAGACACACACGTGAAGAATATAAAACAAACGCAGTAAATATCGTACCATATAAACAACTTGGGCAGCGGCTGAGCAGCGCGACGTCGACTTTACGCTTTGACGACAGTTGACAGACTTGCGAGATGTTTTTTTGTTTCTGTGTTGTGTTTTGTACGTGCGCGCTTCGCTCAAACGACACTTGACTTGCGACCAGTGTGACCATAATGCTGAAAGCTCGAGATGAGCAAGCTTTGTGTAAGTGTGACTTGCAAATATTAATGCAAGTAACAGTTGCCCATGGGCACAGTGTGACCACGCAGTCAACATTTCCGTAAACCAGCAAAACATATATGTATTAAGAAAAGTATATTTCTTAATGCTTTTTCAGATATATTTCATGCACAATAAAACTTCTATCCTTGTTAATTCCTACAGGATTTCCTTAGTCAAGATGATTTAAATTGTTTTTAACTTAAGGAAATTTTATGCATATGAAAGCTAATATTTAACTCAAATATTATGTTTTTTTCAAATAAACAAGAGAAATTCCTTGAAGTAACCGATATTTGTTGAAGAAATATGATGTATTACAAGTTTTGGTAGGTAGTTTCCTGTTCTGTTAACTACAAAGAAACAGGTATTATTGTGAAATTTATCAGGTTTATAAGCCAATGAACAAATTATTGTTGTATTCTTTGCTCTCCGAATGGCCATCTGGCATTTCACGCTATACCACTAGGCTATTTAAAATGCACAACAGGTTTCATGATTTTCTCTTTTGACCCTTGGATACATTTTTAAAAACGTGCTTAGAAGTATGTGATGTTTGGGAATAGGGCATAAAAGTTATTTGACAAAATCAGAAAAGTCAACTGTTATGGTTTTGGATCGTAGCACATAAAACTTTCTCAAAAGGTGATTACTCATGTTTATGATTTTTTCTCGGCTGCCTAAAAGTATGCTCTCAATAAAATCGAAGAGCTGTCTAAAACCCCTAAAAATCAATTGTTCATCTCGTTTTTTTTTCTCTCGCATTTGCTGCACATATAATTTAAAATTTATAAAACTAGAAATATGTAAAATATTAGCAGGCAGCACATGAGCTCATTCAGGCATAAAGTCCGCCATTTGTTTGACGTTCATTCGCCGCATTCACATAGCTGTCTCCAGAAACCGATTTTGACGTGGTATCCAAACTCTTCGCAGAGGCCGTTCCCGTGGCTGCAGCAGACACCTTGGCAGCTGGCGAGCGCTCATCCTGCACCAAACCGGGTGCAGCTACCGCCAGCTTCTTCAGGGCATAGGGCACCCGGTTAACGACCGCATTGAAGCCGTGGACATCGTCGGCCGTGTAGGTTACGGTGCGCTTGTAGCCATCGGGATCGATGAGGCTGTAGGAGCCACGCACCACATAGCCATCACGCGTCTCGCGGTGATCCTTGATGTCGCCGGTGCTCTCGTCGTTCACCGCATAGTCAAAGCTATAGCTCGCTGGCGGAAAGACTTCCGGCTGCCGTTGCTCGCGCAGCACAGGCAATGGCAGCGGGAAAAGTGGCGCCGAACCACTGGCAGCATTGGTCACGGCTTCCAAAACCTTCGAATCGGAATCAACCAGCTGGGCGGAGTAATCGTAGCCACTGGGCGTGGCCTGTGAGTTTTGGACATTTGTGTGGGTCGTCTGATAGTTGGTGTGATAATCTTCGCCCGAACTGGATACGTGCTGCTCCAGGGAGTTAATCTCATTTGAGATCGCAGCTGGTTTCACATTATTATTATTGTTGTTGTTGTTATTGTTGCTGTGATAATCGTACTCCGCATGTACAGTCCCAAACAGCGCCAAGGCGAGCAGCAATAACTATTAAGGATACATTTGTATATATATTTTGTATCTTCAAAATACTCCAGCTCACCTTAAAATCCATTTTTGTTGTGATTTCCCTGTTTGTTTGTGCCCACAAATTGTCAGCGAACTGCTTTTTTAAATGACAGTGCTCGGCGTTTTTATACCACATCGCTCGGAATATTACTTAATATGTTACCGTTATTCAATAGCATGCCCATCAATTGCGCCCAATACTATTTTTTTTTTTAAATTGACCAAATGAAGCGATTATACTTTCGTTTTCAATTTTGTGTCAAATTTTGTGCTGCGTAAGCATTTAACAATTGCTTGTCTGGGCTCCCGTCAATGGCAACAAATGAAGACAGAACTGCGACAACCGCAAACATCATCCAATTAACTAGATGAATAAACAATTGATCGATATTCAAATATGCCATGCAATTTGACTGCAAGACTAATCGTAAATGGTTTGATTTATATTAAATTATCAATAAATGCAGAGTGTTAAAATCGAAAATCTTACAAAATTGCTCATTTTTAGACTTGAGCCAAATTACATAAAATTTCTTGTTTTATTTTTGGCATAAATCTCTTGTGATCTGCATATAAAAGATTATTTAGCGACACTGAAAATGCTTCAAGATTTCTGCAATTTGTATATATATTGAAAAAAAACAGAGGTACGCAGTGCAACTGAAATTTTAATCAAAATGTCATGGATTATAAACAAGTGTCGCATTCATCATGCAAATGGCAAAACAAATTATTTAAAGAATAAACACTTAAGCAAGTTTTGCCACAAGCACCAATAATTTGAATTGCATGACAATTGTCTTGTCGTGTGCATGACAAATTCATCATGCAAAAAGAAAGTGCCATGGCAACATTGTGCACATAAGGTCACACTGAAGACGCGCCTAGGGCAGTGTGAACAGTGCGAAGCATCAAACCGGTCGTTTGTTTGTGTGTGGTGGTGTGTGTGTGTTTGTTAAATTATCTGAGTTTTTGCTTGATGTTGGGCATCAAAACAAATCGCGACTGCAGCAATAAGAAATTAGACGTCGCGTCGGGCAGAACACGACACGGCAGGTCGCAACGTTGTCATGACAATGGCCAAAACCCAAACAATGCCCAAGCTGAGGTCCAGCTGGCCGGGCGGCCAATTCCGCGCTCAGCTGCACCTGTTGACCGGCTTCATAGCGGGATTCGTGTGCGCCTTCATGTTGCTTCTCTATATCTACGATGTCCACAATGGCATCAACTGCTGGCCAACCAGCAGCAGCAGCAGCAGCAGCTACGCCTTCGCATCCACGCTGAGAATTGCACAGCAAACCTCGCGGAATTTGGCGCCATCAGCTCGTGTGCTCTGCATGGTGTTGACCTGTCCGGACTATGTGGAGCGCTATGCGCAGCATGTGCACGCCACCTGGGGTCAGCGCTGCAGCAAACTGGTGTTTGTCAGCAGCGAGAACTATGAGCCGCTGGGCGTGGTCCAGGTGGTGGAATCTAATGGCGGCAGCTATGAAGATTTGTGGAATAAGACGCGTGAGGGTTTCCGTCACGTGTGGCTGGAGTATGGCGAGCAGTACGATTGGTTTCTCAAGGCCGACGATGATACGTGAGTACAGCTAGATGCCATTCAAGGGAACTTCTTTATATCTGCCAGCTAGACTCACGAATCCAGCTAGACTCACGAATCCACGACCTTTTAAGGGCGCAAATTTTCATCTTGCACGGTTTTAAAGCTATAAGGCTCAAATCTGGAGGTTAAACTAGCTTTGTCTTCATTTAAAGAAAGAGCCACGCCTCAATGCGCCCACAAATTGCAAAAATGGCATATCCTCACATTACAGTTTGAAAGCCGCTGCCATGCCCTAACAGTTTTAGCTTCACCAGCTCAATTATCAAGAAAACTTTCATTGTGATACGTGTATTGAGCAGTCGGTTATACCCGATTGCAACGTTCTAACTTGTTTTTGTTTGTACACGTTATGTCATTGTTTCATATTTTTACTTTGAAAAAATAACAAGACAGTTTATTTTGTCTTATTCAGCGTTAGTCCAAAAGCAAATAAATTATTTGTTGTTCTCTTTTCGAATCTTTCAAATTATTTTTAATTTCAATATTATTATTTCGTAATTTGTGTTGACGTTTTGACTCCCACCGCTACCCTGTACTTTTGATCTTATCCCATTATTATATTTACAGCTATGTCATCATGGAGAATCTGCGTCACATGCTCAGCGCCTATGATCCCAATATGCCCGTCTATTTCGGATATCAAATGAGACGCTACAATGTGGTAAGTTCTGAACTGCACCTTTTGGTTATTTTTTGTAGCTGCAATAAGCTAAAGCATGCTAATTGATTGCTTATCTCACCTGTTGGACCAAATAAATTTGCATTGCAAATTCCGCTGGTCAGCAAAACATTTATTGACTGACTTCGCAACTAAACGCATCACGGAGCTTAATTTAATTATAACATCTTAGATAAATGCTTTTATTTATTTTGGCCTGGTCCAAACACATTTTTCAATTCGCAAATTATCTTGCGAGAAGCTCTTTTCGTTTATGTGGTATATTGGCTTTTTTGTGGAAGATATATTTATCGCATTTTTTTCGGAGATAGTAAATTATGAATCTATAATTTGAACTCGGAAGAAAACTAGTTGGACTAAGACATAAGAATGATCCAGATAGCCGCCATAATTTAAACGTAAGTTAGGGTTTTTTTAAGGTACGTTAAACAAATTTTAGGAAACAGTTTATTTAAAACTGAGTTAAAGTTATTATAAAATTTGTTTAAATTAACTCCTTATTTAAATTTTGTTTAATATTGAACATTTTAAACAAAAAGTTGACCTATAATATTCGCAAATATTTAACCGATTTTTGTTTGTTTGATTTAACACTCTTCACATTTGTTTCAATTTCCATTATCTTATCTGTGCTAAATTTTCTGAAAGAGTTTGTTTAGGGTATTATAGAACAGATTTCTTGCTAAACATTTTAGGATAGCGAAATGTTTTGATTGCCATGCAAAATGCAAGCTTTATTAGAAATATACTAAATTTGTCGGCCAGAATAACCGGTTCGCACTTCTAGCCGTGATTAAATAATAATAATTTGTTGAAGCCGCTCGTTTAATTGGCTAGCTAATTAAAGAGAACTTCTTTGTTAGACATTATCATTAAAGCCTTGGCACTTGCTGTGCCTGTAACAAAAATAAAAAACGATCAATGATTAATGAATTCATTAAAAACGTGCAACAACAACAATTTGCTAAAACACAAATGGAACTGGCGGCAGTCAATCAACGTTGATGCACTGCCTCGGCGAATGGTCACTTGGCGCGAGGTCGTCGAGGTTTCTTGTCATTTCAATGCAGAGACTCGCGCACGCATCTTGCCCAGGGAAGCCGCGCCTCCAAATGGTTTTTCTTTGTTTGTCTTTTGACATTATTGTGCAAACATTTTGCGTCTGGCAAAGTACAAACTATTGAGCAACACTTGCCTATTCCGCCTTTTTTATAGTTACCCGCAACGCAACGGATCTAACAAGTAGAGACATAGATCAAAAATGTTTTCTATATAAAACCAAAAATAATCATTTTAAAAATTACATTTCTGAATGAATAATACGATAACAATACAATATCTATGAGAAAACAGAATTTAAAAAAAAAAACAAAAAATTCTAAAACTAAAGATAATGTTTCCTTATCATGCATTTAGTTCTAGCATAAATATTTTGATTAAAGAGCTTTACATTTGTATTTCGGGTTTCTATAAGCATATGGCATATTCGAACATAGTACCAAGACACAATATACAATATACTATTTCATCTACCGGCTGATGCATAAACCAAGTTCACAGCACAGCAGGTGGCTAGGTTTTAATAAATTGCATCAAGAAGCCACATTTGTGTTTGATAATTGTTTAAGGCACGTAAACTTTTTGATGGTTTTTCAAATTTGTATGATTTATTACGCCAATTATATTACTGATTGTATTTTTGTAGCTTTTTTTAAAAGGTTTGCTGTCGGCTGTGCATTTCTTTTGTCTTTCAGACAGGCCAATTAGCATATGTTAAATTATTTAATGGGAGAGCTATGGCATATGGAAATTTATGGCGCTCAAGTAATAAATCTATAAATATGCAAAAATACATGCAAGAAACGATCATAAAGTTAGTCTCTAAAAATAGAATAGTTTTGTAAATATTAATTAAATCTAACTAACTGCTTGCAAATGCCAACCGAAATTTATGCCGAAGCTTCACTTGCTCACATTTCATTCAAACTCGTATTTTGAGACACATCATCTTCGTTTATGTAGCAGACGGTCAAATGGCCTTCAAAGCGGCTTAAAACTCTTAACTCAACGTGTAATTGTCACGCTTGATTCGCCATTATGTTAAAAGCCTATGCCATAACTAATTACTTTAACTAACATGGACAAGTCAATGTTTTCGCGCCTTTGATGCCCATTTTCGTGCCATAATTTGTGTTTTGAAATTTCGCCGTTCAAAGGGTGTGGTAAATTATGGTATTTAAAAACTATAATAAAGCTTTAACTAAATGTGGGCTGTGCGTAAATTTAAACAACACTGATACAAAATTTCCAAATGCATGATCAAAATATTTTTGATAATTGGAGATGAATATTTTTTGACTTAAAGTATTCAGTTTCGATTTTTTGTCTCTATTGCTTATTATTATTTTTATCATTAGAAATGAAAAACAGATTTGAGCAAAATTTTGAAAGTTTAAATGCCTTAAGATTGTTACGAAAAATATGTAAAAACTATTGAAGGCTTCGCTTGGGTCAACAATAAATATCTTAAGTCCTTTCATATATATAAATACAAATTATAATGCTTTTCCTAACAAACGAAGTATCTTATTACATAAAGATAGCTCATCGGTTCTTCTTTAAATATAAAATTTCACTAAAAAAGAAATCTCTGTTAAAACAATTTACCTAGTTAAGGTTTAAAGGTTCTGGTTCGGTGTCATACCATATAGAAAAAAAACATATTTACTCGCCTTCGCTTATGTTGCTTTAGCTGGTTGTGGACTTATGGACAGTTCTTCTGCAAGCTTTATAATGTTGCTATAACATTTTCTATGTGATTAATTCCAACTATGATCCCGCCTAGAGTTACATGTCTGGCGGCGCTTCTTACGTGCTCAGTCGCGAGGCACTGCGTCGTTTTATGACGCAGGCTTATGACTCCGGCAAAATCTGTCCGGAGCCTAAAAAAATGGGCATTGAGGATTTCTATATGGGCATTTGCCTGCAAAATGTGGGCGTTCATTTGATAGACTCCGCGCGCGCACTTTCCAAAGAAGACAAGCCAAAGTTTTTTCCACTGGATGTCCAGAGCTATTTGTACAATTTTAATGCCAGTATTCCGGATTGGTTGCGAGAGATGAGCGTCTCGCAAATAGCAACAGTACGTGTGCTGGCCTTTTTTTCAACTAATATTGTGACATTATTTGTGACTCTCTTTAGGGCAACGATTGCTGCTCGAATTACTCCATAGCTTTTCATTATACCAAGCCGGAGCGCATGTATCTATATGAATTTATGCTGTATCATTTGCGAGTCTTTAGTCGCAAGTACGAAGAGCAGCTGCCAGCTCGAATCTCATTTGCCGAAATTTTAGAAATGTTTCCAATGGAAAACAACTCGGAGATCAGAGACTTGACACAAATGCCTGAAAAGCCTGACAATTTTTAAATGTACATATATATGCCTATGTGATTTAAATATTAATAAATTTATATTATAATAAGCATAACAATTTTAATAAGTTCAACTAGTTCAAGTTAAGTTTAAGCTGTCGTTGTTGCTATTGAACTGTATTAAAAAACAAAAGACTTAGGCAACATACTTGTTTGCGCAGCGCGTATAATTTGAGGTATACTTTTAGGCGCAGTATTTGATGGAAAGCTGATGACGGAAAGGCTTCTGCTGAATAATTCACTTATTGCTTATATACGTTCAAAAGTTATTATTGTAGCTACCACATATAAACTGAATTGTAAGAATATAAGCATTTCAAGTTGTTTTATTTGTATTCAAAAAATATATTTTTGTATAATTGTAATCGAAATAAATATATATATTTTGCTGAATATTTATGTCAATGTCGAAAAAAAAGTAATATAATAACTGCAACCCATTGAAATAAAATCTTTTTAAAATAATTTATAAAAAAGAGTCATACTTATCTAAAATAGATAGTCAGATATTAAGTATCTGCCGTAGATAATTTGCAGCATCAATTTAGTTAGTTTTAATAAAGTCTTCAAGGCTTTAGTCTCTGTTCGATTACATTACTATATATTGAATTTAATTATATATTTGAAAAAAAAAAAAACAATTTAAAATATTTTTTACAATAAGCCATAAATGTTTATATATATTTAGTATGTGTCACATGCTTTTCATATATTTTTTCTTGTACAATTTATTGCATTTACCTTGCGGCTGTAGTATTTAATTAATTGTGCAGCTAATAAATGTGCAACAAGCTGTAAATGAATCATTTTTATTGATAGATTTAAACACAAATGCTAAAATCCTTCAGCGTGGCGCATTCTTGCATGAAGGGTTTTTCATTGCCAAAGTCAATGCCTCTGCCCCGATGGGCCTTGCCAACTGGCCCACAATGTGTTGGCCAAGTGCAGTTTATTAAGGCCAGAATCACGTACGCATGCGCACCATTTCTCACTTGATTGAGATGTTTCGAGCGGCCTTTTATGGCGAAATTGCATTAGATATATCGCATGTATATATATCGCACATGTATATTCGATTTATATTGGTGCAGCGTGTGAATTAATAAGTGAAAGGGAACGCTCGGCTTTGCCTAGTTACTATAGTTAGGCATGAGCTCAGTCTGTTAATGAATCTCTTAATTCGTATCATTGAACATAAAAGCGTTTTGTGCACGGTGCACACCTGCCTGTGGGAATGGCACCTGGCAACCACAAGCCTAAATCATTTCATAATCTATATATTATAACATTTCAATGGGTAATTAACTTTTATTTAATAATGTGCAACACATTAGTAAAGCCGTTTTCGACTACGCTGAGATTAATATAAGTAGTAATATATGTAGAATAGTTAAAGCAAACTTGTTGTTGTTAGTTCTTTTAGGTGCAGTGCATATAATCATATGCTGGCAGCCAGATTTATTGACAATGTTGCTTATTTATTATTTTTAAGTGTAATACGACTTTATACTCTGCGTGATTCCAATACTTTAGTATCTACTTCTTAGATAAAGATTTTAATTTTGTGGACTATTCTATTTATTTGGGGTAACATCTTGTTATTATTAATATAATTGCAATTATTATTACTAATATTATTATATTTATTATTATTATTGTTAATAATATTGTTAATAGTATTATTATAACTATTATTATTATAAATTTTATTATTATTATTTTTATCCATTTTATTTTTATTTCCATTGCTTTTAATTTTATAATTATTATTATTATATTTATCACTATTATTACTTTTGTTATAAATTCTCTTAATTATGTTCGTACATAATGCCAGCTTAAAATTAGTTACATATGTATTTGTTCAATTAAATTTATTGCTATAAAGTAATGGTGAAAACATAGTTAGCTTTGTTTTGAGCAGTTATGTTATCTTATCTTTCCTCAATAAATTCCATTGAACAAAACTGCGTGTTACGAAAATTTCTTGTAATCAAAGATTTTTCTCAATTTCGTCTGTTTAAAGTGTTATTTATTTAATAAAGAAGTATTTTTGTATTTTTTTAAATTTTAAATTTGATACTTTTATGAAAGTACCTGTTGCCAAGCTGTTTGGATTCGAACTTAGCACGAATAACGCACACCTGATACTTTAGTTTTTTTTTTGTTATTATCTATCAATATGTTTATGCTTTGAGTTGTGTTTACCTTTTTGGCAGCGACATTTTAATTGACAATTTGAAATTGCAATTGCAAGAACTGCCGTCAATCGAGTTGACTCAGTTTATGAGAGACGCACTCACAGAAACTGTTTACTAACAAGCCGAGCAAACAGCTACCGTTTGTAAGCTGCTGCTAGTTAGTTAACTTAACTAAGTACGTTAGCTAGTTGTTTTTGTTATTATATTTTGTTTGTCAGCCAGCCGCTGCCTCTAAGCATTCCAACGGCCGTCAGACGGTGCGTATGCGCAATGTGGAGCGCCATGGCAACGGCGCGTGTTCCATTTTGTGCCGACACACGCTACACAAAGTGGGTTAAAATGTTGTTGCTGTTGCTCTTGTTATTGTCACCTGTCTGATTAATATTTCATGAATATATATATATATATATACATATATAGTTTTTTTATAATAAAATTGTGCGTCGAGTCATGGCATGTAGTTGGGAGCATTCGCTGTGCGCACTCGTGACCTTCGCCGTTGTCAAATGCGAGCTGCGAGCTGTGAACTGCGTCGCTCTCGATTTGCAAGACATTCAAAAATTGTAAGTGCTGCTAAAAAAAAAAAAAAACAAAAATAATAATAAAAAATTAAATCCAAATTGAAATTGCATTCAATTCAAAATCGAAACCATAAAAAATCGCTTACCCAGCCAGCTATGCCTGGCTGCTGCTTTTGTTGTTGCGCAAATAATTTGATTTTAATTTTTTTTTTCTGTCTTTTATCTTTTGCGTCAATTGCTCTGGCCACGCACTTATTTTGTTGTGAAAGTTGTTAAAAATATTTTTTGCTCGCCTTAATTAATTAATAAATAATACCGTAACAAGTTGTATTTCTCTCTCTCTCTCAAATTTTTATCTCTATATAGATTGCCGATAAATCTTGGCAATTTATTATACCCTTCACTTTTCGTGTCAAGCGTACTGCAAAAGAAAAAATACCACAATCTGAAGTTTTTTCTTTTTCCCAGAGTTTATTCTTGAGTTCTCTGTGCGTAGTTTGTGGTTCAAGTTTTTGCTGACACTCGAGGATTGGTATGCCATAATTAGCGCAATGTCGTGAATACAGCCTGATCTGAGGGCTGGGCTATTGGTAACTTCTCAGCTATAATTGGAGTCGATTTATTTTTGGATAACAAGTTCAAGACGAGTTGGAATAATTTGGGGGGAGTGACAAACATAAAAGTGTATATAAATAAATAGATGAGCGCAATCATAAAAAGATGTTTTGATTGAAGGACTTGTTAATAAGCGGAGATGAGATATAAATAAAAGACATTAGGCCAGATATTTCTGCACTACTATCGAATACTCTATAGCAATGACTTTTCGCTTGTTTTATAAAATAAAAATTAAACTATTAGAATATTATGTTTAGCTACAAAATGGAAGAAAAAGTATATTCGAGAAAAAATGTAAAATTATCGATTGGTTACGAATATCAATGTTGTCAATGGAGCTGCTATCGATAGCATGATGAGAAATCAATAAACAAAAATCGTAAAAATTAATAAATTGATGAAAATTAATAAAATATAGAAAAGTTTAAAATAACTGTGCAGCCTAAATACCTAGAGACTGGTGTGTTAATGCTATAGATAAGAAAATATAAACATAGAATAGACATAGATATAGATTCAAGTATCTTTAAATTGTAACAGGCAGAAGGAAGCATCTCCGACCCCATAAAGTATATATATTCTTGATCAGCACCAATAGCCGAGTCGATCTAGCCATGCTCGTCTGTCTGTCTGTTCGTCTGTCCGTCCGTATGTATGAACGCAAGGATCTCAGAACCTATAAGAGCTAGATACTTAAAATGTAGATGCTCCTAGTTCCCGCGCAGACCGAGTTTGTTTCCGATAATCGATAACTTGCTCCGTTTCCAAGCAATCGATAAAAATCGATATCGATATCCTGTTTTTTGGGCAATTTTGGTAAATAATAAGAACTAGAGTCACCAAACTTCACATATAGCTTCAAAAATAGAATATATATATGCATTTGATGTTGGAAGAAGAGGGTTCAGGGTATCCCCTAGTCGGGAGCTCCCAACTAGAACCTCTTACTTGTTTTTTTCATATTTTCTTTAAATTCAATGCATGCTTATCGATTTCATTCATCTCGATATCTGCGATTGTCACCCTGTTGGCCAAAGTTCATGCCTCTCAATTCAATCATTATTTCAGACAGACATTTACGGATAATGTAAAGACGATATTTTATGTCAATTTTTCTATGAGTATGTCAACAGCTTTTTTTTGTTCTGTGGTGTCCCTCCTCGGGCCGCTATCGCCCCCCTCGCCTGCTGCATGCATATGCATGCTGTGCAGCTGTGCACATTAAAATCAATTAAAATTCTTATTTATCTTCTATTCTCGATGCGCCTAACAAGTGCAGCCTGCTCCGAGCGCATCTATAAATATTTATTAATGTTCGAACGTTCAAAAAATCAGCTGCTAAGCAAAAAAAAAAAAAAAATAGATATATATATTTAATATAGACGCTGACTGCACACGCATTGAAATTGCAAGACATTCTTGAAGCTAAAGTGCACTTGAAAAAGAAGAAATAATAATAATCATTTATATGTATAGTTAGTCTATACGATACGTATGGGAATTGTTTCAAGCTGCGTTCGCAAAAAATAAAAACAAAGTATTTCATGTTGAATTGCTATTAAAAGAAACATACACACATAAGTTTAGCACTCGCTAGATAAGTAATTAAATTAATTAATTTTTATATGCTGCCAATACTCAATTCATGCCAATAG